ATACTGAGCTTCAGAACCTTCCTTCTCCAGGAACGAAGCTGTTGCTAATCTCCAAGAGGTCTTCCTTGCTTAGCTTGGTTTCACTGTGCTATGTTGCACTAACTTGCTACTACCCATCTCCACAGAATTACCTTCAGCTGATGGCAACGTCCTTGCAGTCCTCCTCTAGTCCCCTGACCTGGTAGGGTGGCTCATAAACAATGACTGACTGATTTGAGGATGTAGAAGTTTCCTTGCCTCAAAAAAGTATACATTTTTTCCATGTGGTTTACATCCCAGCCATCTGTAACAGTTCCGTGTGGATTAAACCAAGGCTAGACATGACCTGAGCCACATTCTGGCTCTTTCCCTTTCCTGGTCTAATTTATTCTTCTCTGCAGATGTTTTCCTGCAGAATGCTCATCAATAAATGCCTATCTCAGATTCAGTTTCTAGGGAACCCAGCATCAGGCCACCGGTGTTAATACTCTTCCTCATTTCCTGTGTCATTTTCTCATTCATTTCTAGGGACTTTCAGATCCACACTCTGGGCTGTGAGTGTCACAGGACCTAAACTGGGTTGAAGGTGAGTTATGAAAGTGCTATCAGTACATCCAACCTGTGCCCTGTCATTTTTCCCTCTCAATTTTTTGTACCAGGAATTGAACTCAGCACCTTAAACTTTCCAGGCAGGAGAGATGTCCCTCTCAGTTTTTTGAGCAAAGAGGAATTGTCCTGGGCCACATATAAAATACATAATGTAGTTCATGTATATAGGTAATAAATATCCTTTAAAACTTTAAAAATTATAGCATTTTTTAAAAAAGGGCAGAAAAAGAGTGGACCTCAGGTTGGACATACGTGCAACTAGATTAAAAATCAACTGGGCTTTTTTGAAGTCATTACAAGAAATACCTGCTACACGGTGTCATTATGAGGGTTTTTACAGTTAAATGTGTTAATAAAAATATCAAATGTTTAGACCAGTGATTAGACATATACCAAATGCTCTTAACTATTACAGCAAGAAATTCCTCTTTTTGTTATGTATATATTCTAAGTGTTTCTAAGAGAAAGCTTGGCATATAGTGTGTACTCTGTAAATGTTGGGTTGAATGAATGATTGAGTATTGAAGTTTTGCGTTATCTTTGACCTACAAACACATATGGTTCAAGCTAATGTATGTGAATGTCAGAACTGATAGACTCCCTTGAAGACTTTCAAGTCTAATTATTTCATTGAGTAAATAAGAAAAAGAATCGGTAAATGTTGGGTTGAATGAATGATTATTGAAGTTTTGCTTGGCCTAAGGTGGTATGCTAGGACATCGCCAGCAGAGGGCAGAAACTGTACAGATAAAATCTGATGGGCTGTGTAAGACAGTGGAACAGAGCTCCCAGACAACTGGAGAGGACAGATCTGAGGGGAGTGCCTGGGTCATATCATATTAGAATGTTTAAATATACCCCCTTAAGATCCAAACCTTTTTTTGAGTCAAACCCTTCGTAATGAGATACAAAATTCAGACAGATAAGTGGTTCTGGGGCCCAAGATCTCTAGAGTTGCCCTAGTACCTGCAGTTCCTCTTTTGAATTTGTGAGCTACCCCATACTTCTGATAAATACTTCTATGCTTATGCTAATGTACATTGAGTTTCTGTAACTTAAGCAAGAATTACTAAGCCCAGTGAGTATGAGAAGTGTGTGAAAGAGAGCCTCTACCATACGGGGACCCTGAAGTCATGAAACAGCCGTACTGGAACTGCTATTTGCTCTGTCAGACACAAGTTGAAGGCCAGCCTGGCCTACATATTGGGTTCAAGGCCAGCCTGGACTACACAACAAGACCACATCTCAAGAAACCAAAACCAAAAATCCATTGTCTTGCCAGTATCTCATATCTCCTTAAGAAAGTCTCCACTTTCTCCCTCAAAAAGAGGGAGCACACATGGAGCTTGGCAGATTTTCCAGGACTCAACATAACTGCCTGTCAGGAGGCAAATGTGTTCTGTGGGTCTCTACTCCAGAAACACAGAAATATCTATTTTTATTTCAAAGTGGAAGTAGCTTTCCCCCCATTATACAAGTCATATACTTATGGTCAGATAAGTCAGATGTTACATACATGTATAAAGTAGAAAGGGGAAATCACACATAACCCTATTCCACATAGATAACTGCTATGAAAATATTCTTTCAAAGTTTTGCTCTGTACAGATATGTATGTTATAACGAGGCCTGCTGGGGACAACATAGAGATCTCATAAAATGAAATCAGACAAACAAAACAGTGGGTAGTTCCAGTCTGGGACTTGGGGAAATGACTTGTAAAGTATTCATTCTCACGTTGCATGAATTAGATTGAACCATGTGAAACTATTCCATTATCTTTGACCTATAAACATATGGTTCAAGCTAATGTATATGAATGTCAGAACTGATAGACTCCCTTGAAGACTTTCAAGTCTAATTATTTAATTATGTAAATAAGAAAAAGAACCAGAGAGGTGTCCAGGCTGAGGTTATACACATTAGTGCCAGAGTCAGGGCTGGCTCTCCTACTGAACCATGAACTTTGCCTATCATACTCTGTATCTTTTAATATGATGATCACCTAGATATGGCAATAATTTTCTCAAGGCAGATTTCAACTTCTCACAGAATTCAATCAAAGTAGAAAATGCTGCTTTGGAGGTAGTGTAAACCTCATGACTACAGATATGGCTGCAAAGGGCACTGGGACATGGCTCAAGAGACAATAGATTATAGAGTTAATAAGACTTAATATTCAGGGCCCTGCACTTGTACAGGTTCCTTCCTATGGTTCTAGGAAGGGCCCCAGCCACGTTTTAAATGATGACACATTATTGTAATATTTGAAAAAGCAAGATAATTATGAATTCTTTTTCTTAAGAAGAATTCCTAGAATTGTGTAGGCTTCAGATCTGGATTCATACCTTTGTGGTCCTGAGTTTTGAAAAGTTCTAGGCAAGGAGACCAGAGCTCTTGAGTTCTAATCAAGAACTAATCATGGCACCACTCTGGCCCAAATGGCATTTGCTTTACTTTCTTTGAAGGGAAAGTAAAATCACAACTGTGAAATATGTTTTAAAATTGTAAAATGTGAATTAATATAAGTAATATTATTCAGATTTACTACTGTGATATGGAGTGATCTCATGTTTGTTGATGTTAACAACAACTACAACAGCAGCAGCAATAACAACAAAAAACGTGTCCCCAGAGCATCTTCCTTTTTCATTTTCCTCTGCTGCAGCTTCGTCTTTGCTTCCTTCAACTTCCAACTTCAAGTACCACAGCCACTGGACCAATCACTAGGCATTATCTTTTCATACTTCTATTTGTTTGTTTATGGGTTCCCACTGTTTATAAAGTCTGTCTTTGCCTGTAAAAAGCCTTATCCACCAGGTCCAGGTCTGCCAGCTCCTCCTGTCTCACCCAACTATGACTTCACTTAGCTCACTGTTTCTTAGAGAACCGAGGTCTGTTGTAGTCCATAGCAGAGTTCTGGAGGCCTCACCTGACAATCTTTAAGTGTCTTGATCTTCTACCATCCCTGGCCACCTTGCATCAGATCATAGACACACGGTTCTTGATGTACACATGATAAGGGTCACTACGCTTGTCCACTTTTCGGGAACGAGTGTATCCCAGGATGAGGCTTCCCACAGTGACAGCAAATAGGAACATGACAAAGAGAATATACATGTAGGAGTTGTCATCACGGCCAGGGAGGCTGGACCTTCGCTCCTCAGTCTGGTCATCTAGCCTTGGTCTTAGCTCTGGATCTGGTCCTGGTCGGCAGAGCAAGTTGTTGTGAAGCGTGGTATTTAGAGCCTTTAGCACAGCATGCAGGCTTTCATACCAGGTCTCAGTCCCATTGGTAGTCTCCATAGCAACAGAAATTGAAGTGAGGAAAGAATTGCAGGATTCTCTGGCAACAGAAAAGAGGGAGTGGATGAATTCTGTTACCTGCAGCTTGAATGACTTCCCCAGTTTTCAGACCCCCAACTAGAATGTCAACATCACAGACTATTCTTAATACTTGTTTTGCCTGTTTTCTATATCTCAACCTCTGTGAAGGCAAAGACTATGTCTGTTTTACTCACTGCTACCTACAAGTACTTGTGACAGCGCTCCATGAATTCTCATGCCTGTAATCTCAGCACTTGGGAGGCTGCGGCAGGAGAATCACAAGTTCAAGCCCAGCCTGAGCAATTTAGTGACCTAGTGAGACATTGTCTCAAAATAAAAAATGTAAAGGACTGAGAATGTAGCTCAGTGAGAAGGCCCTGGGCTCAATCTCCAGTACTGCAAAAAATAAAAGAAGTAAATAAGTATGGAATAAAGGTTTCCGTGATAACTGTAGCTCATAGTAATTCTCCTTCCTTTGTATTCTATAAGTCACTGAACTTTAGGCAAGAAGAGCCTTAGGGATTATTTAATCTAACACATTCTGTTTTATGCATAGAAAAATTGAGGCCCAGAAGGGATAAGTAGCTTGTCCGTGATAGCAGAGAATGCTGGAGGTACAGCCAAGATAGGGTCCTATTTTCTGAAGGCCAGCTCCTTCTGCTCCATCCCAATTCTAATCAGGTCTGCGTGGTGCCATTAGAAGACTTTTGTCAGGACTTCCCTTCAAGGCTGGGATGTAGGTCACTGGTAGAGCTCTTGCTTAGTATGTGTGAGGTCCTCAATTTACTCACACTAGCACTACCAAAAACAAAACAAAACAAATCCTTCCCTTTAAAAGGCTGGCTCATTTGATCTCTTAAAATATCCTAGGTCCCATACATGTCAGGTATTCATAACTCCTTGGGGGAAATTCTATTGGCAAGGAATGGCTGGAAGAGTAGAGAGAGGTTGATGACTGCTGCTGACACTGGAGAAGAGAACAAGTTGGGCCTGAGGACAGGGGTTAAAGGAGTGCTCAGTCTGGCTTGAGATTAATCTGCCCTGGGAAGAGGAGACACAGATACTTCAACTGTCCTGCCTTCTGAAACAAAGCCACTATGTACCTGGCATTTAACAGGTGATAACAAATGATCTCTTTCTTTCCTCTCAAGGATTCTTGGTCTATAATATAGTAAAACATCCTAAGACAGCTTGCATTCTTGTCTCCTAAGGGCTAGGGATTTAGCTCAGCGGTTCCAGCTCCTGCCTCACATTCTTGTCTCTGAAAAAAAATTTCATTCCTGTTCAACAAGGCTTCACACCTACTTCTGTCAGCAAGTCTTCATCCAGTGCTCCCCATCCCTCAGTGATACTCCACAAGCTTTATTATCTAAGACTTCTCTTCCCCCATCACTTATATACAAGGCAATTTGTGGCTGTACTCTTTTTTTTTCTCTTAAATTCTTTTATTGGTACAATTTTAGATATACAATACATTTACATTCATCACTGGGAACTTGTACCCTTTACATTATGTATCTTGGTTCTTATTTTTTTCCCATTCCCTTGCCCTCCCTTCAACTCCTCCACCCCTCCCTATTTGCAAAGGCTTTGTTTCCATTTATTTCGTATCTCATATTTTTTCCTTTCCCCTGTACTTTTTTTTTTTTAATAAGCTATTATCAGACCATGGACTATTGGTCAGCTGGGCTATATCGCTCCCCTAAGTCTAGGGACTACCCTAAGACTCCTCGGGTATTCTTCCCCAGATGATTGCTCCAAGAATGGCAGGGTTCTCTCCTTTCCCAGAAGAATACTCTGAGACTGGATGGGTGTTATTCTCCTCTCAAAAGTCTACTTTCAGGAATTCTCTACCAGCCAAACATAATTCACTCTCTGGCTCCAAAGTTTTCCTTCATTAGGTAGCATTGTCAACAACCAAAGTTAGCAATTATTAGGATTATTAGCTGTGAAGTCTCTCTCCCAAGCAAAGATGATAGTTCTGACTGTGATAAATATTTATGAGTGACTCTATGAATGCAGAAGTTAGAGGGAAGAATCCAAATAATACTGCAGCCCCCAAGGACTGGCCCACATTTCACGCAAGACCTTTGGGGCACTCTGCCATCTAGTATTTGTGCTGTCTCTCCTGGAGGAAGGAAGGGAAAAGAACAGGTGCTAAGTAAAGATGCAGGACATAGATTCTCTTGACTGGCAAGAAATCTGTATCTTCCCCGACATAGGCAATGGTAAATAGTAGCAGCAAAATGAAAGGAATCACTCAGCCAGTCATCATTTATCTGAGCTAGTCCCTAGGCTGGGACCTTGGGAATCCTCAAAGCCAGTCCTTGTACTCAGGGGCTTATAATCTAAGTTGATGCAGTAGACAAGCCAGAGTTACTGAGGCTTAAAGGGAAACGTGATGAATTCTGCTCAGGGGGCAGTGAATGTTCACGGTGATGAAGGCATTTGAATTGGGCATTCAAAGGTTTTTAGGAGGTAAAGAAGGAAAGAGATGAATAGAGATATGTCAACAAGAAAGTACAAGAGCTGAGTGTGTGGCTCACACCTATAATCCCAGCACTCAGGAGGCTGAGGCAGGAGGATCACTGTTAGTTCAAGCCCAAACTGGGCTGCATAGTGAGACAGAGGAAAGAAAGGAAGTACTTAAAATGTTTAGAAGAGTGGAAGGCAGGCAGCATAGAGGGTGCATGAAAGGATAAGATAGAATGTGGGACTGGAGGAATTGATAGGAGCCAGGTCATGGTGGGATCTGAGTGCTATGCTGTAGAGCTGAAATTTTGTTCTGTAGTTGGATTTTCAAAGTATGATGGAATGTGTTTTTTAAAAAGGATAAAATGAAAAAAAAAACAAGGATAAAATTATCAGATCTGTGCCTAGAAAGAACACTGGAAGGGACAAGAACTGAGTCAAGAGGTTCGATCAAGAGGCTTGAAATTGTTTATGGGTAGGATGTTGAGTCCTGGGCCAGAGCAAGAGGGGATGACAAAGTAGGGAGAGGGACAGATGTGAGATGTGAGAGGTGTTTGGGGGAGAGATGGCTAACATGAGAGTAGAAGAAGGGGCCTCAGACAAATTTACAGGTAGATGACAGACAGGTAGGATCTCAATTTCCCTGTTACTTTCCTTGTTTGGGCTTAGTTTTCTTTTGTATCAGAAAAGATCATTATCAGGAGTTGTTGCAGAATGGGTATAGCATTTCAGTTTTGCAAGGTGGATTCTAGAGATATGTAGCATACAATGTGAAAATAGTTAATACTACTGAGCTATGCACTTAAATGGCTAAGGTTGCAAATTTTGTTTTTTTTGTGTGTGTATTTTGTTATGTGTTATGCGTTTTTTTTAACCACAATTAAAATTAACAAAAGGATTATAAATCCTGCCCTGTTTTCCTCAAAGCTTGTGTGAACACACATTTTCCATTATGCTGAGAATTTTTTAAAATTTTGAGATGCAAATACATATACTGTAGTTTTATTTTTAAATTCACTCCTTCCCAGTGTAGTCACTGTCATGAGGTGTCATTGAAAAGGGGTTTTAAGTGGCAGAGTAAAAGAGGACAACCTCAATGTGGAAAACTCGCTGAACAGCAGGAAACTCCTTAGTGAGACAGCTTCACGAATCTCCTTGTGGACACCTCAAGACTCTTTAGCCTCTCAGACTCTTCAGGATGTCTCTGAACTCATCTAGGGTCTCAGGATCGACTTCGGCTGCTAGAAAAGCCCACAGTTGGCAAATGGGGAGAAAGCAGAAAAAGAAGGAACTAGACATGCAGAACAAACTTCTGCATGGAAACCCAAGGGCAGTTCCTAAGGGTTGTGCAATAGTTTTGCTGTGGGCTCTGACTCCTCTCACTTCCCCTTGCCCTCCTGCAACAGCTGGTTCTGGCCAGCATAGGGTTATAGTTCCAGGAACCATGCAATGGCCAAGGGGCATCTGATTGCTATTTCCCAACTTCAGGGTCACAATGTATTAACTGGGTGACTTTGTGAAAAACCTTAGTTTAACACATAGACCTCAGCTTGGAGACCAGCTAATTGTGCAGTCCAAAACATTCCTTTTTTCAAAGATACTGGTGCCTTGGAAGGAGTCTTCTGGAATCCCAAGAGAATGATGTGATCAGTAGAATGGCAGTTGGCATTTGTTAGAAAAAATGATGTTACCAATCAAATCCGCTGGGACAGACAAGAATAAATATAGTACAGAATTAACACTATTAACACTGTAGCAGTTTGTTATGAAAAGTAAAGGAGACTCTCATGCAGTGTGTGGTGCTAGGTATGCCACAGATGGTGGTAGATGTCTTATTTTTGTAGAGCTGAGGCTAGAAGAGCCTCAGAGTCCACTACCCTCATTTTGTAATAAGGGAAATGAAAACCCAGGAAGCTGCCTTGATTCAGCTGCTACTTGTGTGATTTTGGGGATGTGACTTCCCTTTCCTGAGCTTCAGCTTCTATGAAATGAAGGGGCTTGGAGCAGCTGTCACATCTGGTGACAGTACAAATCCTAAAACCATGCTAAGATCTTGGGGATTAGATAGGAGGATGGGAAGGATACTTTGACAACTTTTTAGAGCCCCTGAAATCCCATGAGATGGCTACAGATGTTATGCTCACAGTTTAGGTATTCCTGAGCCTTGGGACTGATTTATACCTAATATTCCAGCCTAGATAAATGGAAAGCCAAACTGATTTATTTATTCATTTTTCTCTTAGCAGCTCACCTGCCAGGATGATCTAGTCTGGGGAAGAGACAGACTTAGAAAGGGGAGGTAGGGACACTAAAGGAAGTAAAAATTAATAAAACCTTTCCTCCCTCTGGCCCTCCTGCCAAGGAGAGATAGACTAGAAGTCTGTGGTTCTGAAGGGAGGAACAAAGAGGCTACATATATCCTGAGGTTCTGGGTTTGGGTGAGGACATGGGCCTGGGTACAAGGGCATGGGCATCCTGGTTTGGTCAGGAGAGGCAGAGAGCTCATAAAGGCTCAAGTTGGTTCTCTATAACCTGCCTCTAGCTCCCAAATTAGCAGTCAGCAACATTGGGCATTTTGCTTTGTTGTTAGTACTGGGGGTTGAGCCCAGGAACTCACACGTGCTAGGCAAGTATTCAACCACTGAGCTATATCCCCACCCCTTACATCTCCCAGACTGTCCTTGAACTTGCCATCCTTCAACCTCAACCTCCCATATAGCTGGGATTACAGGTGTGTGCCACCATTTTGCTCCTGCTTCTTGACCTCCTTGAGTCACTGATTACCAGTCTCCCTGAACAGAGGGGACAGACTCCTGCCCTGAAGAGCCCTTGATTTAAAACAGGAGATAGAAGGAAGTTTAGAAGGAAGGTAAATAATTACTGAGTAAGGGACTTTAAAGATTATTTACAATTTGGATTCTAGGCCCACATGTCCATCCTCTACTGGGGAAACTGATGTGCAAAATAATACAGCCAGTAAGTGGTAGAGCTTGGGTCCTATTTAGCTGCACTTTGAACTACCAGTGCCATCTGAGCTGCAACATAACATCCTCAAGCCATGGGGCATCTTCTTCTCTAACTTCATTTTAACTGCCCTTTCCTGCAGTATACATTCTTGCCAATCTTAGTTGAGAACCCAGTAATTGAAGTTTTAGAAGACAGTAAGGGCCAGAGATTTAGCTCAGTGGCTCTTCACCTGCCTTGCAAGCGCAAGGCCCTGAGTTCAATCCCCAGTAATGCACAAACAAACAAAACAGAGTTAGTCTTTCTCTACCTCATTTTGGAAGAGTGTTAGCTTCCCCATCTATCTCATTTTCTATAGCTCCTCTACTCCAGCTCTACTCAGATTTATTCTCTTCCACTCTGTCCTTGCTGTTTCCCTCACATTAATAGGCTCTCCCTAAATGTACTTGACTTAAACCTGCCCAGCTTCTAACTTGGGGGCTGGGGCATAAAGCTATGATCTAAAAGATAAACAGAGTATCTCCGTAAGATTATCTTTCAGGTTTCTCTGGAGAAAAGTGAAATTCCACCATTGATTCTTTTAGTTCCCCACTGCTTTTTTTAAGCTATTCTTTCTGAATATTTTAAGGGCCTGGCATTGAAGTAGAGAAAGGCATGTAGAGAAAGAAGTTCAAATAATTCCCTAAATTACCTATTCCGTTGTTTAAACAATATTTTAATATATTCTAATTTGTCTCATTTATATTACTAGTTTCTCTTAGTTTATTGAAAAGAAAGTTTAGTCCTATTATCTGTTTCTTTAAAAGAGAATCTTTTGTCTATGTCTTGTACTGAGCACTATGAAGATGATACACAGTGTATTAATTATTGTTATTTTATCACTTTTTTATGAAATTTTGGTTTTTTAAAAATAAAATTTAAAAAATTATTTTTAAAAAAGGCAGGTAGTTTAGTAGAATTCAACTTTGTTTAATCCTTAGAGTTTCAAAATGCATACTTATTTTATTTTCAGCCTCTATAGCTGATGTAAGAGGTCAAAATTGAAAGGCCCTTTGGAGGTCACCTAGTCCAACCTATTTTTCAAAAGAACAAACTGAACCTCTGAATGGCCAAGAATCATATTATTTAAATAATAAATGAGCTGGAATAGAAAAATGAAAAATAAAAAAGGCAGGTAGAAAAAGTCACATAAAACAGGCAGGGGATCCAAAAGCAACAGGGATGTATAATGTTGACATTGCACCCCCCAGAAGTCTTGTCACTGCTGTGGCCTAGAAAGCAGTACAGTCGGGGAGAAGCTGACAGAATGGACTTTAATACTGAATTGGCAGGAGTTAAGAATCATATCAGAGAGCTGGGGAGTTAACTCAGCAGTGCTGCTACCTGCCTTGCAAGTGCAAGGTCCTGAGTTTGATCCCAGGTACCAAAAAAAAAAAAAAAAAAAAAAAAAAAAAAAAAGAATCAAATCAGAGCTGGAAGGGATGCTATAGTCACATTTCATTACAACCCCTGGTTGAGGAAATTACAAGCATAAGGTCTCACAGCTCAGTATAGGCAGAGCTAGAACCAAAAACTAGGTATCCTGACTCTCCATAGATCTTTCTTTCTAAGTTCTCTGCTACCTGTAGGGAAGGATCTAAATTCTTCTGATTATTAGTAACTCCTTTAGATGTGACTCTGACACTAACCCCATCACTCTATAGTTTTCCCAGTGTTCTGTGGCCATGATATTGAGCTATTATTGGCCATTCTCGAAACATTCCTTGCACCTGTATATCTCTTGCCTTTGCTCATGCTGTTTTCTTAGGCAGGAATTCCATTTGCCTTTTTATCTGTTCAGCAAACTTCTACTCATCGTACAGGTTCTAGCTCCAGTGTCAACTCTTTTGATCCTCTCCTGAGACACCTCCTTCTCTACTCTCTAGTCAATGAGTCTCTCCATCTTATCTGTACCCAAAATGTTTTATCCAAATTCGAACACTAGGGCCAGGGATTTTGCTCAGTGGTTCTGCCTCCTGCCTTGCAAATTAGAACACTATGCTGCACTGAAATTGTGTGTGTGTGTGCGTGCGTGTGTGTGTATGTGTGTGTATGTCTGTTGTGAGGCATGAGTGCAAGGACCTGTACCTCATGCATTTCTTTATTCCCCAGGCCTGAAGACAATCAAGTCCTAGGAAAAACAGGATTCCCTTAGCAGGCACTCAGGAATGAATGAATCAAAACTTTTTCTCTAAGGGCATCCCTACTGGAGTGCAAGTGCATAACATACATTCATAAAAATAGTCCACACTTTGTAAGAAAAAAAAAAAAAGAAAGAAAGAAAGGAAAGCGACTTCAAGGGCAGGCCAAAACAAATTCCACTTAGTCTGGGAAAGAAAAAAAGCTGCCTCAATTAGGTGGGGTGTGTTAGAGGAGGAGGCTTTGTGAGCCTCCTTCAGAAGCCCAGACACTCCCTCCACTTGAACCTCATTTAATCCAAAGGGCAAACATTTTTGGCCCCCAAACATACCAGCAATGGCTTTGCAGCCTTCTTCCTTGTGTACCAACTCAGGGTGTGGCTGCTTACACCCACACATTTTGCGCACACACAGTGCAAAACCCAGTCTTGGCTGTGATCTTGCCTTTCAAGGGTTTCTTTCATGATTCCAATCTTGGCTGCATTTTTAACTATGACCTTGCATTTATTTCCTCTGAACCACATCTATAAGATGGGGATAATTATCTCTGCCTTGCTTACCTCACATGAGAACTGGAGGAGACAATAGATGGGGAGGTGTTATAGCAACTACAAACATAACAGAAAAATACTGGGCAACCTGGTCACATTGTTTCTTTTTCTTTCTCCGTATTCCCCCTACCCGTATTCCCCCTACCCGTATTTCCAAGAATGGCTATCCTTATGTCCCCCTTTCCCACCCCAGCACTCCTACCTCAGAACCCTAGGGGTTCTTAGTACTTTTTTTGATTCTCAGAAACACCACTTTTAAGAAGCTTCCCTTAAAGGGAGGAGCAGGTGAAGGGAGGGCAGGGACAAGGGGAAAAAATGAGAACCAAGACCTGTCATGTAAAGGTACAAGATCCCAATGATGAATGTAACTGTACTGTATACCTAAAATGTACCAATAAACTCAATGAGAAAAAAAAGAAGCTTCCCTTAAAAATGAGAATCAAGATCTGTCATGTAAAGGTACAAGATCCCAAAGATGAATGTAACTGCACTGTATACTTTAAAAGTACCAATAAACTCAATAAGAAGAAAAAGAAGCTTCCCTTATTTCCTATCCTCCCTGATCATTCCTGAGATACCTTATCCTTTAGAGGTACTATTTGTAATCATAGGAATCAAGAGACTTGGATTTCTGCCCCTGTTTCACCAATATATCTAGACATCTACCTTGGTAAAATTTATTCTCCATTCTGGGCTTCATTTTCCACATCCATAAGATAGATTTTCCCCTTTAGAAGATATTTTGAGCATCTACACATTATTTCATAGTTGGAAATAATGCTTTGAGAAGTGTAAAGTAAGAGGAAATTCCACTGCAAGAGGTGAAGAAGAAAATCTGAAAGTGATTGCCATTTCTAGCATTGATTCCCCCCCCCCATTGGAACTGACAAAGTGGCTGGATTCCAAGAGATAAGGGGGAGTTTCTACATTTACAATATCTCTTTGTAGGTGAAGTAGAGAGAGCCCGGAGCCAGGAGTAGAGAAATGTGGGTTCTATCTTTGATCCTTGGTGGCCCTAAGTAAATCATCTACCCCAGGGCCTTAGTTTTCTGGTATGAAAATTGGCAGAGAGTTAGGAGGGGGGTTAAGAGGAAAACTCTTAAATTGGCTCTCTCACAAGGGCTGAGCTAATTACTTTCTAGATAAGGGACTCCCAGTTCAGTCCTCCTTTCCCCTCACATCCCATGGGGTAGATGGGCAACAGAAGCAGGAAACCCATTATACTGATAGTGACCCAGGAAAAGAAAACACAAGCCAGAGGGAGCAGATGATATGCACAAGTTTACACAACCTATAGACTGGACCCCAAGTCTCCTGACTCTGAGGCAAGACCTGTATTACTGTTAGCAGAAGATGCCTTTGGAAGTTTCCATCCTTTCCCTGGATCTGCATCGCATAGGGTGAGAGTCACAATGGAACAAGTGAACTCTACGAAGCCAGCAACTCTCACCAAGCAAGGAGACTGCTCCAGTCCCAGGCTGCTCTGCGTGCATTAGCATCGGACCAGGAGGTGTTCGCGTGCATATTTATAGACACTGAGGTGCTTTAGGTCGCCCTGCGAGACCCTAAGAGAACAAACACAAACCTCCTCCTCCCCGCAGTGGTTTCGGGCTTAGCTCCTCACGCCCCTGTGCTACCCTAGGATCCCTGCTCTCCGCCCTGGGGATAATCCTCTCGGTACAGTATTTGAACTGCACCTTTTGATGGGTCTGCCCTCTCCAAAAAGCTCCTTGGTTCTCTGAAGAGAGGTAGGAGGACCCTTTCCCTCCATTTATACCCTCGCTGCAGCTCAGCTCTCCCAACCCTGCGAGCGAGCCTTACCTGTCCCTCGGCAAGTCTCCGAGGGCGCGCGTTTGCTTGCTGGACGCTGCTCCCTCTGCTCTAGGGTGGCTTGGGCACTACACCTCTCTGCCCTCCGCCTGCCTCTGGGAACTCCACGGGGGCCCACCACAGCCCTGCACCCTTTGCTGCACCAGTGTCGGCTCCCTTTTCGCTTCCCCAGGGCGTCCCCTCCTCAGGCCCCGCCCGTCTCAGCACACCCACTTCTCTCTGGGCTGGTTTCAGGCGCCTCCGCCCCGCTCCTTGGCTTCAACCGGTTGTGGGCTCCAACCTTTCCGTCCCCTGCACTGCCTGCTGCAACGCTTGCTTCCTGGACTTTAGACCAAATGCCACTCTCTTAGGCTCGCCTCAGCTAGACCAGCTTCAGCGGATATTCAGAAGGTGAAGCTGAGCGCCGGGTGCTAGTGGAAGCAGGCATTGCTCCCAGGTGGCTCTCTGGTGGTGGGCAAGTCACTGCTCCTCCCTTGGTCTTGGCTTCCTTGCTGTACAATGAGTATCGTTCTTGCATGCATTCTTAATGGGCTTATTGTTGGGCTCAGATGAGTTGTCTCCAAAAATATTAAAACTAGAGGGTCACCTGAGCAAATACCTAACACAACCTGCTTCTGCAGACCAGATGCAAACGCCCAGATTGGGGAAGGGACTTGCCAATGCTTACCAAGCAAGTCGTGGCAGAGCTCAGACTCAGAATTCACTACACTGCTCTCTCCTTAGCCCAGCAGGTGTCTCACTTGCCCCAGCAGACCCTGACATGCCTAAACAAGTTGTGTCCAGCCAGGTCTTGACTGAGATCTGTTCCAGAACACTCTTCATTTTCCATTCACAAGACTCACTCAAATTGTCCCATGCTTGTGGCTGCAGGCACCAGAGAAAAGAAGCAGCCAGGGACAGCTGAGAAATGAGGACCAGGAGGCCAGTGGCAGAGGAATGGATAGAGACAGGAATAGCCTCCTATGGTCTTTGTAAAGAACTTTTACCAAGCCCTCTTTACCAGCCTATGACCTTACAATAATTAATAAATACAGGCCAGCCCTCTCATTCCCTTGCAAACAAAAATCTGCCACAGGATATCTGAGGCACATGCCCTAAATCACAGAACCTCAGAATATAGTATCTAAGAATAGCTATCATTAAAAAAAAAAAACACCTACCAAAGAGTGTGCATTTTGTACAAAATTGTTAATCTCCATCAAAACATATTGCTTCCATCTTATTTCTGTGGTCGCATGTTTTGACTTAGTTATTCCTCCTCAATCTAGAGGTTACCATTCAGAGAAGCCATCCTGACCCTATAAGCATGCAGTCTCAATTTTCAGTCTGTCAAAGAATCATTTACGGACATTATTTAAGTAGATGTTTCAGCTTCACTCCACAGGTTCTGATTCTAGAGTTCTGGAGTGGAGCCCAGAAATTAGCATTTTTAAAGATTTCTGAGGACTGTGATACAAATGGTACTTGAGAGACTAGCCTTGAGGAAATAGCTCTGGACCAGTTAGAGTTCCCTCCCAGATCCTGCCAGGCCTTGCATTTACTCCACAGAACTACTTATCACAGTTATTGAAGAGTATTTGCCCATCTCAGCTACTAGAATAAGGATCCTTTAAACATGGAGATTATCTCTTATAATAAAATTTTAGATTAATAATTGTAGACCAACTTAGAGTTGTAGAATCATTTAGTGACAGAACCTAAATTAGAAGGGCTCTTACAATTTGATAGTCAAATTCCTTGCCTAATGAATTCTATATATTTCATGTCTCACATAAAGCTCTCTAGCTTTGCTGGTGTACTTCTAGTAACAGGGAGCTCATTGCCTCCAAGGCAGTCTGGCAGATCTGATTTCTGGTCTCACATTTTAACAAAAACTGCTTCCTTTGACTTCTACCCTTTTGTCTTTGTACCCCTTGGACACATTAAAGCATATTCTTAATCGTTTTTTTTTCCTTTTTCAGTCCTTCAGGGTTTGAGATCTGTCTTCCACCGGCCCTTTTCTATAGTGAGGATGGGCAGGAACCTTTTTAGGGAAGGCAGCTAGTCAATAGATGTCTCATTTGTCATAACTATGCATTGCAGACTTGCTATGAGACTTAGATAAAATATGGTACATTACATATTCAGAGCTGGGCCTAGTACCAGGCATGTGCTTAATAAATGGCAACTTCTATTGTAACCGGATAAGAAAGAAAAAAAGAAAAGAGAGTTCCTGTCTTTGGGAATCCCATGAGAGGGACCTTCCAAGAACTCTCTAATCCAAAGACACAGGCCCTGACCTTCAGGAAAAGGAAGGCAAGTGGGTAGGGTGGGGATTGAGGTTAGGCTGGGCTGACTGAAGGCATGAGGGTGTGATACCTAGAGATATACTTTATGGAATCTGCTTAAATACCACCTTCTTTTTCTCTCTCTTAAATTCTGTTATTGGTACATTTTATGTATACAATACATTTACATTCATCATTGGGAACTTGTACCTTTATATGATGTGTCTTGGTTCTTTCAATAACACCTTGGGAAAGTTTTCCTTGACCACCCTATTCTCAAATTTTAATCCCCAAGTTTTCCCATCTTTTCTAATCCCCTTTCCTATCCTGTTTTTCAATAACACCTAGCTAGGTGTGCTGAGGTCTGAGCCTGAAGATGGCCTTTCCCTTAATCTCTACTCCCTTTCTGTTCCATAGTCTAGATGTAGATCCTGGATGGCACAGTCCCAGGAGACAGTTGCATTATGTATCCTTGTTCCTTTTGTGTGCCTGCCCCAATCATGAGACGATCATGTTCAGCCTAGGTCACGTGGGCCATGTGGCACTAGTTACCTCACCTTCCTACACTATAAATAAAGAGCCCACCAGAGGCCAGGTGGCCATCAGCTCATCAGGCTATGGTCCCACCTGGTCCCAGCTATAAAGCATAATTTTGCCTTCTTTCTTATTATTTTCCAATTTTTCATCTCCCCCACCCTCGCTGGCTTCAAACTGTGCTGTGCAGGTCGCGGCATAGATGGCAGATGGTTCTGATATATTTTACTTACTCTTAAATTTTATTAATGATTTAGTAATTTGGGGTTTTTTTTCTTTTTCTTTTCTTTTTTTGAGACAGGGTCTCACTGTATAGTCCAGGGTGGCCTTGAACTCACTATGTAGCTCAAACTGGCTTCAAATTTAGGGCAATCCTCATGCCTTAGCCTCCAAAGTGCTGGGATTACAGGCGTGCGCTCTCACACCTTAAGCTTATTATTATTTTGGCGGGGTACCAGGGGACACTTATTTTTTAATCTGTTGATGTTCCTACTGCTGCTACCTCAACTGAGCCTCCCATCTGCCCATCAGCTCTATCTCAGATTCTCCCTGACTCTGGATTTCTGTACATGCTTCTTTCTCTTTCTTATCAGGCCCAAGTGTTTCAAGTTTCAGGATGTTTCACCAACCTCCCCCATGGCTTCCCCCACTCACTTTCCATATCTGAATAGAGCCGTCTAATATTACTGATATGAGATGATCATGTGCTTTCTGAAGGGACCTGACTGAAAAAGAGCCATTCTGGGTGTTCTTGTCCCTTACGCTGCCCTATAACATAGAACTTACCTTCCTGGAAAATAATTATCTATTTTATTTATTGACTCCACATCTTGAACATAAGCTCCTTGGGGGCACTAAGCTTAGTATAAAATTTAGTAAGAATTTGTTGAACAAATGCTGATTATGAGAGATAAATCATTAGGAATTATATTGTCAGGAAAAAAATTTGAAAAAAGATAAAACCTCTCTATTACCTCCATAGACTTCTGCCTATGCTGTTTTCTCAGCCTGGAACACTCTTCCTCCTGGAAGACTCCTGGAAGACTTCCTCCTGGAACGCTCTTCCTCCTTCGCACCTAATTAGATGCCCTTGTATGTGTTCCTACACTCCCCTCCCATGCCTCTATTTTCCTCTTCTTTGCATGTACCACCCTTGTATAAGTTCCTGTTCTTGGGGAGAGTATAGTCTAATGCAGGAAGAATGGCCCTGACTTCATGAGCTTCCAAAATGATAGAAACATTGCTCTCATCAGTTTGCCCCAGGCCAAGTGGGGGGTGATAACCCAAGGGCCATCAGAGTATTGCTGTGTGAGTGTGTGTGAGTGAGTGTGTGTGTGTGTGTGTGTGTGTGTGTGTTTCTAATCTTCCATTTCCAAAGTCACTAAACATTTGGAAAACAAGTAACAGATGTGGGTGTCTTTACACTATACGAACCCACAAAGAAATGTTGGACTCCATAATTCTTTCTAGTGAGAAGAAACCACTTGGGTGGTCATGATACAGCCACCAAAGAGGGAGTGGTCAGATGCAGACATCATCAACTCTGAGACCTGGGCCCTGGGCCAAGTCATGGCACCACCCACCACTTTCCACCTCTGGTTCCTTATCTGTCAAACAGAAATCCTGATTCTGCGAACCTCATAGGGTTTCAAGAAACAAATGAAATCATGGTATAAAAATTCTTTGAAAACTGTGGAGAGATTATTACTGGCTTCCTCATCAGACCAGGAGCTTCTAAAAGGAGGAGCATGCCTCAGAGGTTTTAGATCTTTGTAAACTCACATGAGTCAATGGTATAATGTGGCAGTATGACTAAACAAAAATATTAACACTGACTTAGACTTCCTTTTGGAAGAATGTGTTTGGGGCAAATCTGGATCCTCAGAAGAAGACCCTGGTACAAGTATCTGAGCAAGACCGGTTCACTTGTGAAATGATTCCAGGAAACATCACTAGAAAGAAAGAAAGTGCGTCTCTATGTGTGGGAGTGTTTATAATAAGCTGTCCCCTTAGCAACTTTAGTCCTTTTAGGGACCCCCTAGAGTACTGATGACAAACACTTGCTACCAAGTTCCCAAATGCAACCCAAAACCCACTTATGTATTGCAAAGTGTCAATACTCCAATTAAATCTAAACACTAAGGTTTTAGTTTAGAAAAAACAACTCACACATTAACATCTTTTGCCTCAACAGCAAAACACAATAGCATGTGCTATAGGTATGCCACTGTTATCAGGTAGATCCTTCTAAATGTGGTTGTGGGTTGCTCATCTCTCCTCCTGGAGTTATATTTCAGGTTCTTCTTATGTTGAACAAAAGGAGCAAAAAGCAGTGGCAAAGTTTATTTGAAAAAGTAAAAGTTTAAAAACAAA